AAACAAAAGCATGAACTTTAAACAGTTTATCCACCAAAGTTGAAAAAATTTAGTTAGTTGACTTTAATAAAATTTGCATAGAACATTATGTTATATACTAAAATGTAATTCATTGCTGTTAGATAATTTTATTCAATTAAGAGAGGAAAAAAAAGGCCAATCAAGCCCCCAGTTCCACATGGCAATAGGTAACCACAAACCACCTATGAAAAAAATCAATACATCTGGCTAGATCTTACAAGTTTATAGGTTTATGCAAGTATACACTTCTAATGTAAATTGACCACAATTAATGCCAACATTGGCTTATAATCAAGAAGACAAGTGTTGAACTGCTTAACAAAAGCATTTAATATACATCTCACATTAATAGCCACTTCATGTATCAATCTATACAATAAATACTTATTGGAATGTAAAAGGTTTATTTGCTGAGTGATGGCAACATATCTGTACAGTTAAAAAATGAAAACCAGTTCATGTAAACAAATTGTATGGAATGTTTTTAATTTCAAAGTTTCACATAGATAGATATAGAATTTGAAGCTTTAAAATGGGTTGTAAAGCCGAGCTGACAGATAAATACAAATGTTTAACAACTTCAGAACTTAAACACTAAACTTTGAAAATGACCAATAGGTACCACCAAAATGAAGCTTAGTGAAGATTCTGAACAACTTTGATGGTGCTAAGTTGAGAACTATAACTGTGATGTGTGTCCCATATCAAGAGAGTAGTTATGAAAATTAATTTTTAATCATTGTGGCAACAAGGTGCCAGATCCTAAATCAAGTGGTAAAAGCCAGTCACTAGTTCTCCTTGAAAAGGACATCCATAAAGAACACTGAATGAAATGAGCAACAACATAAATGAAGCATTGTTTTCAAAGATATTGTACTATCATCAATGGGCCAGACAAATGGAACAAAGACTGCATGGCAACTAGTGCAAAAAAAAAAAAAAAAAAAACCCTCATTGGTTGAGACATCAACAAGGTGGAAGTGGTGTGAGGTTTTTGAGTGAGATTACAGGTAGTGAAAAATCAACTTTAGAATGCTATTCTGGAAGCTGTGCAGAAATAGAACAGTTCACAAAAATCAATGGATGAACAAATTATGAATCCTGTTTCACAGCATACATTCTACATTATGTCTTTATAACTCATTACAATAACACCATCTTCAAATTTTGTTTAAAACATTTGTTTTTGTAAAGTTTGTACATGTTGAATATTTGAAATTTCTAATTATAGCATATTGTTTCTTGGCATTTCAATAAGCTGGCTTATATGAAACATGGAAAATTCAGTAAAACTGTTGCCTTATTAGAAAAGTGTCATATTCTATGATAATATATACACATTAATAGTGCAAATATTTCTATGAATTCCTTCATTTGTTCTTTAAAAATTAGAGAAAAAAAAGTGACTCAATGTGAGATGCAGTGGATAATTTTTAAAATATATATAATGAAAAACTGATGAAACTAGCCTACTAGAAGAGTAAAGCAGTAAATTTGTATTTCTCACACAAATTATGAAGAAAAAGAGTCAAATCTCTAGAAGTATCTAAATGGCAAAGTAACCTTCATGAGCAAAAACTTGCTAACCCAGAATGTCCCAAATAATGAAGTCAGTGAGTGGCAACCATTAGTCAAGTAGTGACTGAAAGGTGCAATTATTGTTCAGAAGTAGCTCAGTTCATAGAAACCCGATGCCATTTTGTCCAGTGGCATTCTAACTAAGCTTCAACATGACTCAGTGACCTTAAAAAGGAACTAGAAGACACTTAATAGGAAATCTTTCAAGCATATGAAAACAAAAGAAAAAAAAAAATGACATCATTTGACCAGTGTAAGTAAAAACAGGCAATCTTCCCTAAACCCAGTACATTTAAGCTTTTTTAAGCTTAAGCAACATTTTAGTTATTTACACTTTATGCAAGTAAATTTTGAATTAGGGCCATTAATTGCTATCCTATTGGCTATTTGCTCATTTTGACTGCAAGACTTGTTCAAATTCAGCTCTAAATTCTGTACCTTTGAGCCTATTTTAAATATTTTGAGATTTAATCTGCTTTGATCATTTAAAATTAAATTATAACCTTGCAAGTAATGTTTATCAATAAATAAACAAAGTACTATTGTTCAAAGTAGCATAATTGGTCATATCACCAAGTTAGTTAGATACAACAATTTGGAGGAATAGAGAATACAAATTAATGAATCTTCTCATGAAGAAATTATCATTAAATTGAATAAATCATTAAAGCAATTTCTCAGTATATACTTCTGAATCATGTCACACAAAAGGTAACTCAGGCAAAGAACTTATTACCTCTCTGTAAAAACCAGTATGAAAATTTACAATATGTTTAACAATATAGACAGAAAAAATGCTTTTACCAGTCTAAGTAAGCTGCAGAAATGGGTAGTTTTAATAACGATCTTCTCCATGGTTTATGAAAAGTATCTATTTCAAAGCTACAAGATTTTAAAGATTTCTATTTCATATTTACTTTTAAATCATTCGGCACTTAACGCAAAGAACCATTCTTTTAACATTCATAAAATAATTTTTTTGAATAAGTATATTCTTTATTATGACAAAAAGTAAAATTAATTTTACTTAGAAATATTAAGCAAATACTTTTCTGTAAGGTATCTTTCTCTCTCTCTTCATTTATATAGACAGAGAGAGACAGAGAGAGACAGAGACAGAGAGAGACAGAGACAGACGGAGACAGATGGAGAGACGGAGACAGATGGAGAGACGGAGAGAGAGAGAGACGGAGAGAGAGAGACGGAGAGAGAGAGACGGAGAGATAATAAGATTTGCAAATATAATGCCCTGTATTTCTTTGGATCTTGTCAGTACAGCCAAGACTGGAACTATGTGATCTGGGCAGTGTACAGGCTCCATATATCATCACCCAGCCCTGCACACTGGAAGGTTCACTCTAGTCTCACCACCAAAGTACCGAATTTTAACTAAACAGGGTGCAATAAACATGGGCTCATGTACATTGATATTTTGGCAAAAGTATTTCAATTGAAGTTTAGAGCTTAAAGTGAAAGCCTCAGATTTCTTAAAATAGGCATTTTGCAAAAAACAAAATGTCAAATTTGTAAATGATTTTATGAATAAAGATTATATTTTAAAGTGTTTATGTATAAGTAGAGTTTCTCCATATAAAACATTGTATGTAAGCATTAAATTGCAGAATATGAACACATGAAAAGCTTATAAAAATAAAGTTACAATATTTTCCAATTTGTATGACAACAGAACAAGATAATCATAATGCAGAGTAAGAGAAATATGTGTACTTTAATGATCCAAGTTTACAAGTCATTAAAAAGAAAAAAAAGAAAGGAAAAAAAAAAAGACAGGTTGTCAGTGGATACCAATAAATCAATAACACAAAAGTTCAACATTTAAATCAAAATCAAGGATATTAAAGAATTGAACTTCAGCTGAAATAAAATTTAAATTTTTCAAAGTTCCCATATAAAGTCATGGAAATATGATTAAATAGATAAATAAAAATAAGAAATAAAAAAGAAAACATCTATAGGAATAATACAAGAAACATTATAGAAAAAACAGCATAATAGTTATAAGGACTTCACTAACACCAACTTTGATAATTAGTTGTCAAGAGGATGTTGCCTTACAGTCTTGCCTTAATTAAAAGGTTTTCTAAAATAATACATATTCCTTGTAAATTGAAATCTACAATGAAATAGCTGATTTTAACATATTCTTGATGCCCCATATTAAAAAGACTTAAACAATAACAAACAGGCTGTATTTTATAGTCAAGATGAAAACAATTATTTCAAACAATCAAAAAAGTAAGGCCAAGTTGGAAATTGAATGACTTAACATCTGTTGATTCAATTATTACCATATTCATCAAATCAAAACAAAAGAGACTTCCCTCACTTTTCTAATGCAGAGCACTTGAAGCTGAAAGGCCATAAAATTATCTTCAAGAAGTTTTGACTTTCCTAAAGAGATGCTACTAGCCCAAGTCAGTCACTTCAAATTCTTTAAAACCAAAAAGAAATTCTGATGACTTGATAAAGGCTAGGCCATCAAGATATTCTAAAAATAAACAGCTAAATTTAAAATAGCTGAAGAGATTATTTTCCATGAATTCTGTTGAATTCTTAGCTAGAGAACTTACCTTAAGAAATTATCCAAAAATAAATCATGCTACATTAAAAAAAAAAAAATTTTTTTTTTTTTTAATGACCTGTGAAACAAGGTTTTAATAAAGGGGGAATAATACAAGAAGTACATTAACAACTTCAGGGGCATTAAATATTGTTCAGAGAACACATGGCCAACAACAAAAAAAACTTATCTGTGGATCATGGGGGGAAAAAAAAAGAAAAAAAAGGAGATGTTTTTGGTTAGTATTCCTATAAGATTAAAATGTTAAAAATGACACCTTACTTTACTGAAAATGTCTAATTTGAAAAAATAAAATTGATTTTGTGGAGGGATTCTCTTAGAGTGAGAGCACTCAAAAATGGATTTTAAATAAATAAAACCTCAGACATAACACAGTAAAAAAGTTATTTTACAATATACAATTAAAATACACAAAATGAAAAATTTGATTTCATAAAAGAAATACAAAAAATCCTGCTTTGATACAATTCAAAGCATTTTGATTAAAATGGGAAACCTGGCTTTAAAAATTTCAAACTACATTAAAAAAAGGTATGCAAAAAACTGTTTTGCTTCATTGAAAAGGTTTATTGCACCAACTAATTGCAATGGGCTTTTTTTTTCTTTTTCATAAATTAACAGACTTTACTCAAGAGATAATTTGAACATGCACATTTAATCAATATAGTTTTAAAATTCAGAAAAAAAAAAAGCCAGCTTCAAAATTTCTAATAAACAATTTTCTTTTCATGAATTTAGGATATTTCAATAAATATATTGAGAAAAAAGTGTTTTTTTTTTTTTTTTTTTTTTTACTTACGCTGCTTTGAAGTTTTGTGTTCGTAGCTATCCTACGGTTTTCAGGGGTGTCAGCTACTGCAGTAAACTTAGTTGTTGGGTAATGCCTGCATTAAAAACAAAAATTAAATCAATAGAAATAAAAAAAAAAAAATAAAAAAAAATAAATGGAATATTTGAGAAAATTTTATGCTAATAGGCAAGAGTAAATTAAATTTTTTTCTTTTTTTTTTTTTTGAATACATAAAGATTAATAATTCTTTCTCGAGATATTGAGGGAGAGATGAACATTGCAGAAAAAAAATAAAGTATGCATAAAAATACATTTCAGAAAAATTTATAAATGAGAAAGTTATTTAATATTTTCTAATAACCATGAATATGTAATTATCTTTCAAACTCAATCTGAACCTCAAAACCTCAAGGTCTTCAATTAAAACAAAAATTATTTGCATAAAAACTAATTTTAAGTTTTTCTTTAAGTTTCTTCTTTTTGAGTCTATTTCTGTAATCATTCAAGATTACAGAAATAAACTCAAAAAGAAAAAAAATCTCACTAATCTTGAATCTCTACAGTATATAGTCCTTAACTTTGCTCAATCATAAAATGAATCTTAAATGTATATTCACATATTCAAGTTGACTTTTATACCAGTTAAGTTTAAAGACAATATCAATGTTACAAGAATTAGAATGATCACAGATATTGTCCAAAAATCAACATGTACATTTGTACCTTGTTTATAATCATATACTCTATGGACAGGCTAAAATACAGACAACAGTAAAGATACTGACTTGAAAAACAGTATAACCAAAAAGATAATAGTCCATTTTAATTCAAAAGATTCAGCTTATCAGTTAAACTTTTACTCCAAAAGCACACAAGTCAGCTATCTTCAAGCTTTTATATATGTCAAATTTGCAATTATTTTTTCTGACTAAAAGGATTTGTGACTTTGTTCTCATTTACTTGCTTTTCTGCTGGTCTTTTATTCTTTAGTAAATATCAGAAGCCATACTATCATTCCAACTCTCATTGCCTCATGACCAGAGAAGATAACACTCAACTTTTTATTTGGGATTTTTTTTTTTTTAAATTGAAGGCCAACAAGTGAACAAATTCTAGTTTTATAAATATTTTAAAGAAAAAATCTCAACAAAACATACCAAATTTACATTACATGCACAAGATACTGACAATATTTTTATTTCTGTATCATTCTTTTATCTGCAGCAAAAAAGGGGTACATTTTGTAGCAAGAGGTTTGGAAATTAATGTTTACCTTAAATAGTAGAATAGTTAAGAATACTGAATGCAGAGGAAGTTTGAACAGATACCAGACACTTCAAAAGAAAGCTCTACAGGACAGATGAGAGGAATCTTATGAAAGGATTCCATTTACATTCTGGTTTGCACATCAGAAGGACAGAGGAATTATTTACAGAAGAATATGGCTGACAAGACAGGTTCTGCTAAATATCAGATCTCTTTTGAGCAAATGAAATGAATAAAGCTAAAATGTAAAGACTATATCATACAATATTGGTAGAGAATAATTCAAAACTTCACTTTTTCAATAAAGAAAAATATTTAGATAAAGAGTTAACATTGGTTTTAGCTGCAAGTTCTTATCAGGTTGTACACATTAAGTTTCCAGTTTGAGTTAGAAATATATGTACAAAAAGAACATTTTTTTTTTTAATATTCTGAAGCAGCCTTAAATTTATCAACTTACATTGTTTAATTTCATTAGTTAGGTTTCCTATTTGATATGGTTCCAAACTGGAGTCAGAAAAGGGAGAAAACAATAAAAGATGAAGAAATGGCACACTTTAATTGAATCCTACACAATAGATCAAGAAAAACATTTCTCAGATTTATTTAAATATTAAAAATAAAATATTGCAGGATTCACCAAGTTTACATTCAAATTAAACAAGTTAATGTGATAAAAATAATAAAATTTAAAACAAATATGATGAAAAAATGCAAATAATCAATCACAAGATTCAGAACAGAGTTAAATTAGAGTTTTAGGTCAATATTTGCACAAAACTCCTTACACTACTCCTCCTACCAAGGAAGCTTGTTGCTTAAATTTGCATTATGAAGAGAAGAGAGAAATAACTTAGGCATTCTAATGAGTAAGAATTTTTGTTTTTGGTAAAGATGTCCTCACTTAAAAAGAAAAAGATATTTGGATAAAGAAAAAAAGAAAACTTAATATTTGAAAAACACACTTAGAACAACTTAAACGACATCTTATTTCAGGAACCTTACCTTGTATGATGTTGGTGCATAACAAGATTTTATAATACAAAATGCAATACAAAAAGAAAAAAAATCTAAAATACTTTTGAAGCAACAAATGAGAAAAACTTAATTTTACCTATTTATGGAGTACTACATAAGTTGAATATTTTAAGAGTACTAGAATAAGAATGACACTTTAAATAGTCAAAAGTTTCATATTACTAATCTTAAATATTTCAAGTAAGCATAACTTGATCCACTTGACATGCCTTCAACAATTGTCTGAGGTTCTGTAAAGAACCATTGTCATTAGTCTACAAACTTGCAGTGAAAACAGTAAGCATGAATATAGCAGAAAAACTAAAAACAATGAACTACTGGTCAGTATCAAAAGAGACACTTAGTAGCCCCTGCACAATTTGGCAAATGGAAAAAAAAATCTTTTCTGAGGCATCTATTTGTATATTGATAGCATTCAGTATAAAAGAATACTGACATAGGAGAAAGCAAGTCATTTTATCTGTAGTGAGAGTAACAAGTCAGACTGAGAATGTGTAGTATGTCTGATGGTGGTAGATATGATTTGTAGCTGGGAGTACAGCAGTTACTGTTTATTTTGGGGGGGGGTCGGAGGGGGTGTTAACCACTTCTTTAGTAACAAACTATTTCAACAACCCAAAAGAAAGTAATCAATCAAAGAGTTCAACCTCAAACTGATCCCCGAATTTGATGGCTCACTAACTGGCCAGTCCATAATCAAATGAATTGAAAAAGCAACACTTGTGTGGCTGAGTTTTCCATCATTTATCAACTGCTGAGCGAGAAGAACAAGTTCAACATTGACCAAATAAAAATGCCCTATGAATGGCTTTCATATCAGACCTGCTCATGGTCTATATACAGTTTGTAACGCAAAATTTGCAACTCTACAAGTTTATAAATTTATACCTTGGAAGCTTGTGATACTGTTTTGGAAGGACAGCTGAAGGTGGCTTGTCATGCACATTTGAAGCAAGATTGTTGAACCACATCAAACAATTCCTTTATACCTCATGCAGGATAGAGTCAATGGCCATGATCCAATTACTGGCTTGATTCTGTGAATTAATGACAATTGTGGCAGCTACCTGACTAGCACTCATTAGAGCTGAAACAATCCACTAGCCATCAATATCAATGTCACTTACTATAGATGCACTGGCTCCAATCACTTTGCAAGTGACTGCTTATATCAATGTAATACTCACCCAAGCAGCATACAAGTGTGATGCTTCCAATGCAATAAAGTGGGTCACATTTCTACAGAGTGCCTAGGGGGAAAATATCAGCACCAATCTCCTCTTCAAACAAGATTGGAATAGGGGTGCTACCCATAATTGAATTGAATGTCAATAGCAGTGTTGGTGGACACCAGTTGTTTTTAATCACTCATGAGCAAATCAATCAGTTTAGAAAAAGGTGGTACTGACAATCAATGGAAAAACTCTCATGTCTTGGAGTTGAGAATGCTAAACTCATCATATACAACATGAATCTCAATGTTAAAGTCTGGAAAGTTGTTGGGGTTAAATCTTCTGCTTGTATGAGACACCATTAAAGAACTGGGTGGAATTCAAATAACTCAATCTGGCATCATATGCTTTTCCCAAGGTCAATGTGCCTGTACAGTCATCCATTAAGATCAGGTAGAATGGTATATCCGACTTTGCATTGTTTACACATACCAACAGAGAATGGCATAGTGGAAAAAGGCTTAAGGAGCCTTAAAAGAAGTGCCATCAGAAAAAAAAGTTTCATAATAGGGACTGGGTATGAAATTCAGATAAAAGGTAAAATTAAGATTTAATTTTAAAAAAATCTAATGATTTACTTATCTGTAGAGAATGAAATCTATTGAAATTATTGGAAATGAAAATGGCTTCTCTAACTTACAAGATGCTATTAAATAAAAGCAGCAACTTCAAACATAAAATAAATACTATTATTTACTTTCATGGAAATTTTGGAACAAAATATCTATATTTATCCATTATGGACAATCCTCTCATTATCATATATATATATATATATATATATATATATATATATAGAAAAAAAAAAAGTGTCTGTATTAGTGCACATACACCATTGTGTACTTTCAGTCAGCTTCATGCCACATCACAAGATAATAAATTACCAATCAAAACAGGTGAATTTACAATCCAAATAATCAGCTAGTGAGTTTTCACATTAGCAATTCAATATAACAAATCAAATAAATGAATCTATGATTAGATTAAATACCTAAACAAATGGAGAAGACAGATAACAAGTCAATCACTTGTAAATATTTGAATGACTATTTCCGAGTCACAGATATACTGACAAAGAGGATTTAAAATTATAGCCAGAATGCCCAATCAAATAACCTGTTGCAGATCAATTCTTACACATCCTGCTAGATGTACATAGTGATTTTTGTCTTTTGAATTTCTTTCAGTTCTGCAATATATAATAAATATTGTATAAATTGAATAAGAGCTGTGTATCATGTTTAGCTTTCAAGTTATGTTTTATGAAGTTATTAATATATCAAATGAGTTATAAATAACAAGCAAAAAAAGTGCATGGATTTTGATTATAGAATGGGTGAAGAATGAAACAAAAAGTAAAAATAGACCTGGAACTGGTTAATCAAGACTGGCTAAATTTAGACAAGTGTTCATGTTGGGTGTAATATTTTCACAGGCTCAAGTCAATGGATAATAAGGTACAAACAAATCAAAATAAAAATTCAATGTTAAAACTGGATTAAAAATTAAAGAAATTACCAATGAACAAAATAACTCTTTACTATTGCTTAAATTTTGA